TCTACATATGTATATCGTTTTCTTTATACCCACCATCAACAAATATGGGACATCGAAATATGTATATGACTAGCATACCCTGGGTGCTTCGCTACCCTAACTTAAATTAAATACATACAAAATTTTGTTTACTTTTATAGAAAATTAAAATTGATTAAACATTTTTTTAATGTTTCAGTTTTATACGTTTTATCACGTGATTAAATTCGCATTCAGTAAGAAGCTTGTATTTTTAGTTTCGTTCATTTAGCTTCCACATTATGGAAAATTTCGAAAGTACTATTTGAAAAAAGTACTATAAAATACTTCTAATAGATTATCATTTAATCAAAAATTTTATGTTTCTGTGTTCAATATTATATACAATTCCAAAAATATAATTTTAATGAATGAAAAAGTACCAAAAGTCCCTTTCAGTAGATTCTCATTCACTAAGGTCCCTACATTTTAAATTTTATATTTCTATGTTCAATATCGTAAAAATCGGAAAAACCGGAAAAACGAAAAAGTACATAAATCTCTCTCAATAAATTCTCATTTAATAAGGACCGTGTGTTCCGGTTAACCATTATAAAGAATCTAAAAGGTACCATTTGAAGAATAGAAAAGTACCAAATAGTTCCCACTTACAGAATATTATTCAGTCAAGACCATGTATGTTAAAATTAATGTTCCTAGGTTGAATATTTTAGAAAATTAAAAAAGTACCATTTATGAGATAAAAAGTTCTCTCTTAAAGAATCTTATTCAATGAGGACCGTCTATGTTTAATAATCATGTGTTTTGAATTCATATTAAAGAACATACAAAGAGTATCATTTGAAGAAAGAAAAAGTACCAAAAGTGGAATAAGTGGAAAGTACTAATAAAGAATACAATTTTTCCCCTTTTCGCTTAGAAATATACTATTTCGAGAATTAAGTTTACAAAATGTTCCTTATTTAAATCTATATATCACAGATAAAACTCAAACGAATCAAATCTGCATTAATTTGTTCCAGAAAAATTGTGCTTTAAAAAATTACCAAACAATTTACTCCAATTTGATCCTATAGAGGCCTTAGTACTCGAATTCCAAAATAATATACCAATAGCTTATTTTGTGTGAGTAAATAAACTACTTTTTCAAATTTTATAAAAACTGGCTCAACGAGTTTGAATAAAATTAAATTTCCCGTTTTTTCCCCTTTTTGGTACTTTTTTCCCCTGTGAAATAGCAAACATTTTATTACATTAAATATTATAGAGTTAGTCCGTAATTTAATAGGAATAATTTAATAAACCGAAAAAGTTTTCTTAATGTGCTAAAAAAAGTACCATAAATACAGTTTTCTCCCTTTTTGACCCAAAAAGGACTGAATTTTGAAAAAGTACGAAACAGGTGTCTCCTAATTTTGGGAGATGTATCCAAAATATTTATAATAATTTTATTATGTTAATTAGTTAAAAAGTTATAAGGGGCCAAAAAAGGTACCAAAATCACCTTTATTACACATTTTTACCCCTTAAAAGTACGAATTTCAAAAAAGTACCAGAAACCCATCTGCTCATTTTAAGAGTAGATACAGGTGCATTTAGAATTTTTCTTGTATCACTAATATTGTGTGAGATAATTAAGAAAACCTTTTTTACCCGTTTTTTCCCCCTTTTTAACCGTAAATGTACATATTTCCAGAAATCCCTCTACATCTACTGTAAAAATTTCATGATTCTAGGTTCAGCCGTTTGGGCTGTGCGATGATGAATCAGTCAGTCAGTAACGCTACTCTTTTATATATATAGATTAGGTAATTTAAAACTGTAATTTAGAAATTTTTATATGAAATTTTATTTCTACGAAAAATTTAAATTAATCAAGTCTTAAATTCATAAATCTTCTTTAAAAAAATTAAAATGTTGACTTGACCAGCCTCTGATTTAAATATAAAACGACTGTTAACTGTACAAAAAAATACTTCAACATTTTTGAATGTTGTCTTTGCTTTTTTCAAAATTTTGCCAGTAAAGTAATTTCCTTTTTACTTTGTTTTTTGTTTCCCTTTTAAAACACTTTTCATAGATTGTATGAGAGTGTGTGTGTGTAAATTATGACCTTTTGACAGTTCAACGCACAAAATGTAGTAGTAATTTGAAGCCAAACAGTCGAACAAGACTGACAGGCAAACTTAAAAGAAATGTTGGAAAAAGTATAAAAATGCATAAAGAAAATAGGATTTGCTTTAACAACCTTTTTGTGATTATTTATTCTAATCATACATACACATTGTAAGTACTAAAAATCTATTTAAAAACACACACACATATATACTTGTGAAATAAATACATAAGCATGTATATGTAAATATATATTTAGATGTTTGTGTACAATGTGGCATAAAGATCAAAATCTTCAAACCACAAACGTTACATCCAAATTCTTCGTTATATTCGTTTTGTCATTATCCTTGTGGTTAAAACCTAATTAAGCTTTGCCATAGTTTCTATTTATATCACTTCGTTACATACAGCACACTAAACTCTGAATAAAGTCAATGGAATTTTTATTCCAGTCTCTCGTAACGCAGTGTAATCCTACATTCGTAAAAAATTATTTGATTATGTCATTATGTCTGTAACAATATCAACTATTGGCCGTATATGTATTATGGTTATTTATAAAATTCCAAACTCATCTCTGTTATGTCACACCAAAAAGAGTCATAGTGTCCATGGACGTTAACACTTTCAAAATTGTCATAGTGTCCATGGACTTTGTGACACTTTAAAAACATAAATGTATTAGATTTTTTTTAGTATTGTTCTCTTATCCCGGATAGAATTGCTTGTAACTTTGGTATATGTTATATTTTGGATTCATTTAAAAAGTGTCCGGGATAGCATTCCTTCGGTCGCGCGCAGGGATTTTAAAATCCGGTGTATTTCGAATAAGGCCTTCGCTATATTAAGCGTTTTTATGATAAATGGACTATTTGTAATAGGTGGCGAATCATTGACTTTATGACACACCATGTCACTTTTTAAAAATGTCATAATGTAAATGGGCATAGTGACACAAAACAGAAATGTATTGGAACATTTGTTTATAATTTAAGAAAGAGACACTCTTATCCCAAAAAGAAATTGGTTCTAAATTTTTATGTTGCATTTTGGATTCCTTTAATAAAGTGTCCTGGATAGCCGGTCTTCGGCCGGCACAGGGGTTTTAAACTCTGGGGTATTTCGAATACCAGCTTCGCCAAATTAAGCTTTTTTTGATAAATGGACTCTTATAAATCGATGGACTTTATGTCACATTTCTCATAGACATTTGAAGTTTAAAGTTTAGTGTGTCATAACGTTCATAGACATTATGATACTGGATATTATGACACGCCACCTTTGTAATACATGGACTTTATGCCATGAAGTTGTCATAACGTTATGACTCAATTTAGTGTGTCATAACGACCATGGACATTATGATAGTGGATATTATCTTCTCATGGATATTGTGTCACTTATGAAAGTGTCATAACATTCATGGACACAATGATACAATTTGGTGAATCATAACCACCATGGACATTATGACAGCCAGGTTGTAAATAAATTTAACGGCTTGATTTCATTCCGATCATTCCGTTTGTAAAACATCCATATCAGAATAGAACATAGAAAGTTAAAGCAAAAATTTCATTTCAGTAGAAATAATAATTAGTGTTCTGTAATGATCCGATTTTGTCAATATTTTATAGTTAGATTGCTTAATGATGTTTTAATAATTTACTACCTCCATCACAACCCCGATATCAATAAGAGCGTTAGAGGGTGTAGAATAAATATGGTGTTACAAACGACGAAACGAACACATAATATCCAATACTAAACTACAGTAGGGAAGTATGTATTTCTGAATCGATTAAGTGCGCATACACATTGACACTTAAACTCATACAAACGTAGCACTCGTAAATACATACATTTAAATTTATCCTTAAATATTGTAGTGTCTATAGATACTTAAGTATTCTTTTCTTAATTCTACTTATATTCTATTCTATTTTTATTTATTTTGTTTTAGTATTTTTGTTTTTCATTTTATTTATTTTTTGTTATCTTCATCGTTTTGGCAATGATCATGGCACAAAGAGTTTTTCTAAGAATTTAAGTATGTATTTATCGTATATATGTATATATGTAAGTGTTCTACATAGTTGTACAATCTGCATGCAATCATCCGTCCTTCCACGTACAATTATACAAAGATATTTACTTCGTCATCTCTAGAGTTATCCATTTGTTACCATCTCCACCGATACCATCAGTAGTCATAGTCAGTCATAGTGGAAGTATGTAAGTTTTGTTACACTTCAGTCTACACATGTACAAAAACATACATACATACATGTATGTAGAGTTAGTACTTGTATGTTTTTTATGAGCATACAAATTCTCATTAAAATTCTCGACATTTTCTTTAACAGAAAAAGTTTGTAGATTTATCTAGATTAAGATTTTCTCCTAACTTAACAAAATATATACATACATATACGTTTTTGTTTATATGTGAATGAATGCATTAGGGTGTTTTTTTTTTTACTTAAATCATATAAAAGTCTAATCCAGAAATTTTTTTCAAATCAGATAAAGTTAACTTGAGCATATTTTGAAAAACAAAGAGCAAGTCCAATAAAATGTGAAATTTTATATTCAATAACACATTTATCTATTTCAGAGCCTGTACCGATCCTGATTGGATTGCCAATACTCGAAATTAAAAAATAATAACAAAAAAAAATGATACCCTACTACATATTATACCATGTACATAGTTGTTATATTTCTTAATTCACATTTTAATTTAAATTTGTTAGTTTCACACAAATTGTTTGTTTTTGTTGTTGTATTTTGTATAATTTTACCCATTTTCAAAATTAAATTGCCAAAAGTTTTTTTTATTTACGACTTTTGACAACATGAGAGAAATATTATAATTTATTGTGTCTTTCTCTTTTTTTCAGAGTATGTAAATCCTATTTCATTAGAATGGTTACAGGTAATAATTTTAATTTTGAGTTTATTTTAGAAAAATATTTAAAAGTCATAGAAAACTTATGCAAACATTTATTCTTATTTACATACATAATTCGAAATGAATGACACTTTATTTTGATGTTGGAAACTTTGTGTTACATGTTATTGTTATGGTTATATAATTAAAAAGGATCTCCATAAAAATTAATAGCATTTGAAAATATTTATGATTAAATATGAAAGTTTATAAAAGTCGTTAAAAAAGAGTTTTATAAGGGAAAATATCATTTGACTTAGTCAAGTTTTAGTAAGGAAGTTACAGTTGAATTTTACGCAAATATTGAGGTATGGGTGTAAAGATTGCAATAGGTAATATATTAAAAGTCAATTATTGAAGCGATAAAGCCATGTCCGTCCGTCCATCTGTCTTTCTGTAAACCTTGTAATCAATCTACATGTCGCATGTCGGTATACACATTACCCTATTGATTTTCGTTGATATGGGTCCATTATTTCACCTAGCCCTTATATAACCGGGTCCCCTAAATTGGGATTTGGAGCTCATAATTATGCCAAATATACTAATATCCCTACAAAAATAGGCACAACTACGTTATATACAAACATAAATGGTACTACAAAATTTCGTAATGAGCGGCCGTTATTTAACCCTAGCGCCCTTGCAAAGTCCTCTTCTGAAAATGCATGAACGTCGTTAATTCCCGTATAAACACTTGTATTTCAATGAAATTTATAATTATCTTTAATGTCAACAAAAATGATTACTTTCGAAGTAATTATTTATTAAAAAATTAAGTAAACAACATTAAGTAAACAATATTTTATGTTTGTAAACTGTTAAATGCTGAATTAAATAATATAAAAATAATATTGTAGTTTTATTTAATGATAATATAATTAATATCATTATGTTTAATTTCGCTAAAATTTAAGAAAAAAAAATATTACGAAAGGTTTTCGTACTTTCGTAAAAATAGAAAAGGGTTTTATTAAATTATATTTAGTATTATACACGAAATTTTTGTAAATATTACGAAAATAGAAGTTACGAAATTTTTTTTCGTAAAGTTGAGCATGGATTATTTTCAGTGTATAAAAGTCACTAAATATTAATTATTTTAAGGACAATAGTTATATATTCATATATATGTTAAATATTGTAAGAAAAATATATTTAAAATTATTTTCCAATCACTTAAAAATATAACTTTTGTATATTTTTTTCTTAAATTAATTTTACTAAAGACATGTTTGTCTAAAATTTTACAAAAATAGTTTTGTCAATATTTATTTTTGTTTTATTTTATTATTAACTTTTATAAACTACATACATACATATATAAACAAAAGTTTGTGAACCATCAACAAATTTTTAAATCTTTATATTTTATACTTTTTGCATAAATATAGACAAATTATGCATATATTCTTTTAACTATATTCTACATAAATACATACATATTAAGGCGTAATTTTTTATTTATGCATTGTACTTTTTTAAGAGCAAACATAAAGCCACATTTTTAAACATTTTCCCCTTATTCATAAAGATATTAATCGCTTATTTACGCTTTTTAATATTTTTCTATAACAAATTCCTATAATAAACCATCAACCAACTTTATGAAGCGTTTATGAATATGGGGCACATTGTCAGATTTTGCCAATTTAGGGGGTCTAAACACATTTATTTTTGGCTTTCTCTATGTTTATTGTGTTATTGTTTGACGTCATTGATTAATCATATCACAAATGAATTTAGTTGATTAACCTTTGTTCTAAAGATAGAAAGTATTTTTTTTCGCAGCTTCACAACAGCGCATAATAAGAAATTAATTTTTTATAATTATATTAAAAAAATTCATACATGTGTCCATTTACCAAAAAGAAAAGATTTGAAATAATTTTCGAAAATGGGTGGAATTTAATAAAAAACCAATTAATTTTGTATCTACAAATTCTCATGTAAAATAATAAAATGCAACAACAGATTGTTATAAATTATCCCATTTTCATAATTTCTATTATCATAAAATGTACACATAAATTTTCCTTTTTAAAATTTAATTTATGAACAAAAAATTATTTACTCTTTAAAAAGGATACGTAAAATTCTATGTTTTTATAAATGTCTAAGATTAAAAAAATACATAAGAATTTTATTTTTAAAATTTTTTTTATTTAAATAATATCTTGTAAAAAATAAATATTTATATTAGTTTAACACATTTATGTTTGTCTAAAAATAGGAATTTTTTTTTAAGAATATCTGCAAATTTAATATGATTTTCATTGGGAATTTCTTTTTGATGAATTTGTATATGAATTTAGATGTACTTAATATAACATATTTAATAAGGTTAAGTAAGGTTATATTTATGCCTTGAAATATTACGTTTAACAGACAAAATACTGATTTAAATTCTCTTAATTACAAATTTTATTTTTTTAGAACATTTTAATTTTTTTACAGTAGAGTAGGATTTGTTCAATAAAATGTAAAATCTCCCATCCTTGCATAAATTATTATATATTAAAACGTAAAATTTTGACTTTAAATTTTATAACTTCAAGTTTCATGAACAATTTAATATTTATAAATATAATTTTTTGTTCATATCGATACACTATATTCAAAAAGTGCTAAATCAATAAAGTCTAGTTTTCAGGAAAGCAAAAAAACTATTTAATTCGTGAAATATTGCACTAAAAGACAATATTTCTTCCGTAATACGTTTTTAACATCCTTACTAATTCTTACCTATGAAAAAATTTTAATATTTTGCACATTTTAGCGACTTATTTAAGATAGCACTTTTTGGTCGACAAAAAAACAAATATTTGTTCTAAGTTAGCATGTTTTGCTCAAAGAATAGAACAAAAGTTTCTTCTAATAATATGCATTATTTTATAATTTTATGAAATGTTTTTTTTTAAGGGATATAAGTCAAACCAGTAAGTGCAATAAGATGCATTTACACCATTTAAGTAGAAAAACTCATGGGATATCTGCTTGTTTACTATTCCTTATTCTCAGTACAAATATTTTAAATTATGAAAAGTTTTTGAATATAAAAAGTGCCAATATTTTTTGAATAATACTCCATAATTTGCACATTTAAAGACTTTTTTATAATCAAAATTCTAAATTGGAACCATAGAATATTATAGATCTTAGTGTTATAAACGATTTCTGAAATAACTTAAAATTTTTCGAAAAAACATTATTTAAAGTCTAAAACTGGCTTTATATACAAATATATAAATGATCATATCTTAAAAACTATACATTCAATTTATTAATCTTCACCTGTTTTGTGTTCAGCATGTTCATCTTGTTAATATACAAAATAAATTTTAAATAAATTTGAAGTTTTAAAAAATGTTGTAAAATTTGTATGGAAGTTAGCACTTATTTTCTTCAATAAAAATTTAACTTTTAACTTATTAACAAACCCAATAAACATCGATTCAAACCTGTGAATATTTTTGAAAATTTTCTTAACTAAATAATGTATTTTCCAAATTGTTTTCAAATTTTAAAGTTTAGCCTTTGAAATAAACATGATAATTTCAAAAAACGTTTAAAAAAATATAATGTGTGATATTTATAAAATTTTCAAAGTTTTGTTTTAATTAAACTTAGAAAAGTTTCTTTCAAAAAATAAATTATTTTAGAAAAATAAAAACAGAACATTTTTTCTACAGCAAGGGAGCGAAAAAACGTTAAATATAGGAGAAATAATCGGAGATATAAAAGAAAAATATGCTAAAATAAATGTGTGAATGTTTTATTTTCAGGTGATGTAAAAAAATATATGAATTTTGCAATAGTTAGCATTATAATTAGGGTTTGAAATATGTATGAAAATAATAATAAAGAATACTTGAAATACGTTTGAAAATTTTTTTAGTTTCAAGCTTACCTCTAGCCTTTTTTTAAATTTGAAATACATTTGAAAAATACGTTTGATTTCTAACTGCCTTTTTGTTTGAGAAGACCATAATTTTCCATTTGAAAGCAAAAATTTTCAAATTTGTTCTCAAAGGCTATGTATGAAATTTGAATAGGTTTTCAAATACATATTTACATCATTTCAAAGGTTTTTGCTTATTGGGAACAAACTTATTAACAAAAATTGTTGTTAAAAGTGCAAAAATTACTTTTTTGGTTTCAAATTTATACCAGACGTGGATCATGCATTGAGGAATCCTTTTGCATCAAAAACTCACTTTGCCCAAAATTGAGTTCGCACTTCTTGAATATAGGGTCACGATATGTGACAACAAAGTGATATTTTTGGAAATTTTTAACGCATTATTAAGGTAAAGCCTGAACAAAAAGTTCTGAACATTCAATTAATGCTTTGATTGTTTCAATCATCGAAATCATTGACTTTTAACCAAACTGTTTGATTAATAAACTAAGTAAAATTTAAGTTTTATTTTATATTTAATTTATTCAATTAATTAATTTTAAATTTTAGTTTAATTACTGATGTTAATTCTTTTGATTATTTCTTTAATTGAAAAGAAGGTATTTTTTGACAAATTTCATAATTGATATCATCATTTTTTTGTTAGGTGCAAAACTTGCTTGATACATTTAATTTGATAATTAAAACACATTATCAGTTTTTTCTGTGTAAATTTTTAATTATTTAAAATTTAAATCAAATTTTTATTAATTTATTAATAAAACGAACTAAACTGTTTGGTAGAAAATTTATTAAAAATCAATTAAGTTAATGATTAAAACAATTAAATTATTAATTGATTACTCACAATGTTAAAAGAATACTTGACCTTTAACAATGCGTTGAGTATTTAGAAAAAATATCAGTTTATTAGCACATTTGAACATACCTAGGAAAAACTTTACTTAACTTGGCTTTACAGTTATTTTTTGTGTTTATTAGTCTTTCCGCTTACTCAGTGCTCTATTAACAAGTTATTCTATAGTACTTTTTGGAATAGTTATTACATAAAAGTATAAATCCA